AGCTCTCCCAAACACAACAAGAACAATTTGCATTAACACAATGCCCTTCAGCAGGCGCTGTGATACACATTTACACAAATATGCTCCCTATACTTGGAGAATGGAACCAAGTAGAATTTTTTTTCCCGATTTACTTTTGGAGTAATTACTGCTGAGTGCAGTGACTTGGCTTCTTTTTCTAGGAAAATTGGGGTATTGCCGGCCAGGGCATCGGGAGAATCCCTTTTCGAATAGTGCCATGAGATCTTTAACATCCACCTGATCAGGCGGTTGGGACCTTGGGTTCACGTCACATCTGAAGGACGGAAACTCTGACAATGTGGTGCTTCCTCCAGCACTTTACTTGAACATCGGCCTAGACTTGAGCTCAATATCCTGACATGGAGCCACAAGCTGAGGGACAGTGCTACTGAGTGAACCAGGCTGACATTAAGTGACCCTGGGATGGGGAGGAGGGAGGGAGAGAGAGGCTGGACAGATGGCGGCTGGTGGAAAGCTTCCCATGCCATACAAACAGCTTGGCCTTGACGTGCCACTCACGGTGTTTGTTCTGCGGATCAACCTACGTTAGCCGACCATGAGACAACTTTCATTAACACGACTCCAACCGGCCAAACAAGATAAGAATTGGGGTTTCTGCCACAGGGACTTAATATAAAAGCCCCAACGACTGGGCTCAGTCTACAAACAGCAGACAGACCGACAGACAGAGAGAATGTTGAGACTGTTTCTTCTGATATCGCTGGCAGCCGTGGGTGAGTTTGCGAGTCTTTCACCCATGCACCGTGTCTGGCTAATTTTATTTACTCATTCCTTGTAGGTGGAAGCTTGGTCTGCCTGGTCAGAAGGTTGTGGGTTAAATCCCCAAATTGGGGCTTTGAGCTCACAGTCAAGGCCTACATAATGCATAGATCATCAGAGGGGCCAAACTTTGGAATGATAGGTTAAGGATGAAGTGCTCTGGGATTGCACTATATAAATTCAAGTTGTTGTTATTGTCAGGTTCTGTCTGTGACTGTTCAGCTGGGTGTTAAAGATCCAATGGTACTATTGGATAAGAGAGGGGAATTTCTTCTGGTGTCCTCGCCAGCAAATTGAAAGGGGGTACTCACCTACAAAATATACACAATAAAATATCATGTGAAGCGCTGAGATGTCTCGATGATAAAAGGTGCCATATAAGTATTACAGCGACTTATCATGTTGTCGAGACGTCTCAAGGTGCTTCACAGGATAAAGTGGTGTAAGTTTGTGCATTTTATGACTAATTTGGGTGGCCAATTTGCACATAGAAATGCCCCAGAAAATACAAATGTAAGAAATATTATTACTATAACAAATGAAAGGAATATAGTTTATATCTGGAGTTGAGTTACCCAGATGAAGGCGATAAGATGGGATAAAAGATTTCTGAGGTGATAACAAGCTTGGGGTTTAAAGTAAACCTTGCATTTAATATTGTACCTCATCACGTCGTTGAGATGTCTCAAAGTGCTTCACAGAATATACGGTAAAGTGGATTGACTGTTTGGTGGGCGAAATCTTTAGAATGTAGGAGGATAGTCAGCTCAGGTGAGAGAAACAGAGAGATGCCAAGTTCCTGGGAGGAATGCGGTAGACACTTGGGAGTTTATAGGTGAATCAGAGAGGAGATAATGTGATGAAGAGCTCTGGGACAATACCCTGTGTGTGTGGTACTATATAAATGCAAGTTGTTATTGTTAATTGTAAGGTCCTCTCTGTGGCTGTTCAGGTGGGGGTTAAAGATTCCATGGTGCTATTGGATAAGAGAAGGGGTTTCAGTCTTTGGGAGACGAAGGCTGCTTTATTTCTGACCTCTGTTGTTTCAGCTCATGGCTGCGGAAAAGCAGCCTACCCTCCCTCTACCAAAGTGGTGAATGGTGAAGAGGCCAGACCCCATAGCTGGCCCTGGCAGGTACCTCAACCCCAAACGTCCAAAGCACTCGCGTGAGAGTGGAACAGATTGCGTCTGATTAATTAATGCTGGAAAGCGCGTTCAGCAAATGTCTTAATTTATCGTCTCATCCGCAGGTGTGACCTTCCTTACCCATTACGTCCCCACTCCCACCCCCCACACACACATCTCAGCCACAATGGTAGGATCCAAAGCCAGCCACAGCACCCATTCAACTCGCCAGTTAGTGAGATACCATCTTAATTCAATGAAAAAGTTGGAGTAAAGCCGGAAATCCACTAGTAATCCACCAAACCAGCGATTGCAAGTCACCAAGTCTAATTCGGGCCAATGGGGTGACATTTTGTGGCAGACATGGGGGTAGAGGGGTCATGCCTGTGGACCAGTCAATGTCTTTAGTTGGCGGTGGGACAGGCTTATCGACACCACGGGATGTTGAACACATCACAGCCTTGATATTAACTCCCCTCGTTTCAAAAGCCCCTTCCCCCAAAAATACCATTTCTCTTCTCTCGTTAGATCTCTCTGCAAGTTGGCAGTGGCAACTACTTCTCACACACATGTGGAGGGACTCTGATATCACCCAGCTGGGTTATGACTGCCGGACATTGTATCTCGTGAGTAGCCCTCGATTTTCCCACCTTCCAACTCCCCCGTTCCTTGCCAGGAATCACCCGGTCTCGATTTATTCCCTTAAAATAACATTATAAAGTGTCCATATTATAGCAACTCGTTGAATTTAATTCTTATCCTGGGAAGTGCTGAGAGACGTTCTGAGGTTACATAAAGTGATACAGCACAGAAACAGGTCAATCTTCCCAACTATTCCATGCCGGTGTTTCCATTCCACACGAGTCTTCTCCCCTCCTATTCCCCTCCCATATATCCCTCTACGCCTCCTCCCTCATGCATGGATTAAATTTCCTCTTAAATACTTTATACTTCAACCACAGCCTCCATTAGTGAGTTCTACATTCCCAGCACCCTCCGTGTGAAGCTCTTCCTAAACTCCTTGTTATATCTACTACTGGTTTACCTTAGATTTAGGGCTTCAGAATTTTGGTTTTAACACCCCTCCCACCCCGATACAAAAATAAAGGAATTGTTGCTTATCCAATAAACACCGGAAGTATAAAAAATTGGCATCGTCTCAGTACAGCAACAAAAGCCCCAAATCCCTGATTTATAAACACTCTAAAATTGCTAAATATAAACTCTGAAAAATTAAATTAATAGCTTTATTCAAGGCTGTGTCTCCAGGCCTTCCACCTTCCCATCCTCACCCCCCTTGCTTTCTACTCCCCAACCCCCTCTTGATTCGAACCCCCGGCTTAGGTGCGAACCCTTCACTGTCCAGCACCTTGGGACGTCCTCCTGATGTGAAAGGCCCTGTGAAATTACAAGTTGTTGTTGTTGTTATTACATGCCCTCATGGCTTTACACTTGTCACTCTTTGTCAGACGGTCCAGTAGCAGTTACCGGGTGGTGCTGGGGGAACACGATCGGGACGTTAATGAGGGTACAGAGCAGGTCCGAACAGCGGCAAAGATCATCACCCACTCGGGCTGGAATCCCAGCTGTGTCGCTTGTGGGTGAGTGCTACCTTGTGCACCAGCCTTGGACTCCAGTGTCCTCACAAACCACATCACGTCCAAATAGCTCTTGAGATTGTTGCCAATTGATTTTGTGCTATTTCGTAGCTGGCTTCTTAACTAAGAAATCTATACATTCACAATTTCCACCCGCGCCGGACGGCCGGTCTGGCTGACATCATGGGTTTTTTGAAGAAGCGAATCCCCCGCCGGCCTATCCTTCCCTCTATGCCTCGAGCTCACTCACCCCACTCCCCCATTGCTCACCCCTCGCTGCTCTGTCAGGCCATGTTCAACAGCAGTGGGTCTTTTCCTTGTGTCAGGTATGCGGGAAAAGCTCAGGCACTTGCGGCCAACCCAGCCAGGTCTTTTAGCAAGGCCTCAGGCTTCTTCTGATCTCGTTGGCCATGCGACCAGGCCTGAGACCTCCCTGGTCATGTGACCAGGCCTCAGACCTCCCTGGCCATGTGACCAGGCCTCAGATATCCCTGACCATGTGACCAGGCCTCAGATCTCCCTGACCATGTGACCAGGCCTCAGACCTCCATAGTCAAATGGAGATTCAAGACTCAAAGCCCCATTTAGTCTTTTGTAACCTCCACAAGGTTCCAGTGAATCCTCCATTACCGTCGGCAGCACTGCCTCCCTTCCTCTCATGATCAATGGCTGGAACATGGTTGCCAGGAAAGATGGTCAAGGCTGGGACATTGGGACTCATTTAAAAAGTAGTTTGATGCCGGGATGGGGTGGGGGGGATGGTAGGGCAGGTGATCTAATTTGATGACATTGGATGGGCTGAAGGGCCTTTTATTTTCCAAACCAATCTTGTTAAATTTGTGCCCTCTCCTGCAAGAGAATGTTAGCCAACCACTTTGGTCTTTTACTTTGTAGAAATGATATCTCTTTGATCAAGCTGAGTCAGCCTGCGGTCCTGAACGATAACGTCAAGACTGCTTGTATTCCTGATTCCGGTGCCATTCTTCCCCATAACTACCCTTGTTACGTAACTGGGTGGGGCAGACTCTACAGTAAGTTACCCCGCTAACCTAACCTTCCCTGTGACGTAAAGAGACATCTCTGTCGTCCACCTGAGATCCTAATAATTCACACCTTCACACACACACACCTGCACACCCAGACACAAACCTGCACGTACGAGCTGATATATACAATAATGGATGCACATTTATGTTCCTAGACACACACCTGCACACACACACACTTACACACATAAGACCTTCCTCTTTGACCAAGCTTAAGCTCATCTCCTCCCTCCCCCACAGCTCAACCACAGGCTCCATCCCTATAAGCACTCCTTGAATGAAGGGAGTCATATAAAAATGCAAGTTGTTGTTATACATGTACACACAATTGCATGAAGACATACCATTTACACTTACACACACAGAGAAGCACACATATACAGTGTACATACATTTACACACACTCACGCACATATCCTTAAACTCACGTCACATTGCTGTAGGCGGGCATGGTACCAGATGTAGTTTATAGACCCCCAAACAGTGATCACAGCATAGTGCAGGGTATTGATCAGGAAATTAGAGGAGCATGTAGCAAAGGTAATACAGTAATGGTGTGTGATTTCAATCTTCACATGGATTGGGAAAACCAAATCGACAAAAGTAGGGAAGAGGAGGAGTTTATAGAGTGTATGAGAGATAGCTTTCTGGAGCAGTAGCTGAAGAACTAACTGGGGGACAGACCATCCTAGACCTTGTTTTGTGTAACAAAACAGGGCTAGTCGGTAATATAGATATTAAGCTCCTCTGGGGCAAAGTGATCATAGCAATAGAATTTAGTATTAAGTTAGAGAGCGATGTAGTCAAATCCGAAGCAAGGGTCTTAAATTTAAATAAAGCTAATTTTGCAGGTATGAGGGAAGAATTAGCTAAAATAGACTTGAGAATTAGATTAATGGATATGACAATAGACCAACAGTGGCAAACGTTTAAAGATGTAGTGCAAAATTCTCAGCGATCACATATTCCCTTGAGGAATAAGAGTAACACAGGGAAAGCAGTTCATCCGTGGCTAACTAGAGCCGTTAGAGAAAGTATAAAACTAAAAGAAAAGGCCTATAAAACTGCCAAAAAAGCAAACCTGAGGACTGGAAATGTTTTAGGGACCAACAAAGGAAAACTAAAAAGCTCATTAAGAGTGAGAAAATGGATTATGAGGGCAAACTCGCTAGGAACAGTAAGACAGATTGTAAGAGTTTTTATAAATACATTAAGAGGAATAGGCTAGCAAACGTAAATATGGGTCCATTACAGGCAGAGACAGGAGGAATTATAATGGGGGATAAGGATATGGCAGAGTCCCTAAATAAATACTTTGCTTCTGTCTTCACGTTAGAAGGCACAAGAAGTTTACCAGAAATAGAGATGAACCAAGGGACTAATGACAGGGAGCAACTTAGGGAAATACATTAGCAAAGAAATTGGTGCTAGGGAAATTGTTAGCATTAAAAAGTGACAAATCCCCTGGACCTAATGGTCTGCATCCTAGGGTTTTAAAAGAGGTAACTCATGAGATAGTGGAGGCTTTGTGTCTGATCTTCCAAAATTCTTTGGATTCTGGAACAGTTCCCATTGATTGGAAGATAGCAAACATCACACCACTATTTAAAAAGGGTGGGAGAGAAAAGATGGGGAACTATAGACCAGTTAATCTGACATCGGTGGTAGGGAAAATTCTAGAATCCTTAATTAAGGATGTCGTAGTGGGATACTTAGAGGATCACAAGATGATTAGACAGAGTCAATATGGCTTTACAAAAGTCGTGCTTAACAAATCTTTTAGATTTTTTTGAGGACATATCAAGTAAATTACACAAGGGGGAAATCAGTGGATGTAGTGTATTTAGATTTCCAAAAGGCATTCAATAAGGTGCCGCATAAAAGGTTGATCCACAAGATTAGGGCCCATGGAATTAAGGGGAATATATTAGCATGGATTGAAGAATGGCTAACGGGAAGAAAACAAAGAGTAGGGATAAACGGGTCCTTCTCAGACTGGCGGGATGTGATTAGTGGAGTGCCACAAGGATCAGTGCTTGGGTCTCAACTATTTACAATCTACATCAACGATCTAGATGAGGACATCGAACTTAATATATCAAAATTTGCGGATAACACTAAACTTAGGAGGGAGAGTGAACACCGAGGCTGACATTNAAAAAATGCAATGAGATACAGATAGACAGGTGAGTGGGCAATAGGTGGCAGATGAAGTATAATGTAGGGAAGTGTGAGGTCATCTACCTCGGTGACAAAAACAGTAGAGCAGATTATTTTTTAGAAGGGGAGACTAGATAGTGTTAGCGTTCAGAGGGACTTGGGTGTCCTTGTACACCAGTCACAAAATATTAGTTTGCAGGTACAGCAAGCAATTAGGAAGGCTAACGGTATGTTGGCATTTGTTACAAAAGGGTTAGATTATAAGAGTAGGGAAGTCTCGCTGCAACTGTATAGGGCCCTGGTAAGGCCGCATCTAGAGTATTGTGTGCAGTTTTGGTCTCCTTATTTAAGAAAGAATGTACTTGCCTTGAAGGGGGTACAACGTAGATTCACTAGGTTGGTACTGGGGATGAAGGGGATAAGTTATGAGGATAGGTTGAGCAATTTAGGCCTATATTCTCTAGAATATAGAAGAGTGAGAGGTGATCTTATCCTATAAAATTATTAAGGGGCAGGAGAGAATAGACAATGGGAGACTTTTTCCGCTGGTTGGAGAAACTATAACCAGGGGTCACAGTCTTAAAATTCGGGGTAAGCCCTTTCGCACTGAGTTGAGGAAAACTTCTTCACTCAGAAGGTAGTGAATTTATGGAATTCTCTACCCCAAAGGGCTGTAGATGCTCAGTCCTTGAACATATTCAAGACTGAGATTGATAGATTTCTTGTGGATAAAGGGAAGAGATAGGGGGATAAGGCGGGTACGTGGAGTTAGAATAGATCAGCCGTGATCTTATTGAATGGCGGGGCAGGCTCGAGGGGACGAATGGCCTAGTCCTGCTCTAATACTTATGTTCTTATGTAGTTAACCTTTTCCCTGAATTTCCTCAGCAAATGGCCCTCTCCCTGGGAAGCTGCAGCAGGCTCAGTTGCCGGTGATAGACCATCAGCACTGCACCGCCGGAGACTGGTGGGGAAGCACTGTCAAGGATTCCATGGTGTGCGCTGGTGGGGCAGAGAAGGCAGGCTGCAATGTACGTAACTCCATTTGGGCTCAGAATGTTCCAGAAGACTTTCTGGGGATGGGGGTAAAATACACCAAAGTCTCGATTTCTAGGCATTCGTCTACAGAATACACAGTCACTACACTTTATAGTATATCTTGTGAAGCACTTAGAGACGTCCCCTATTCTCCCTCTGCCTTGCTCTCGCTGTCCCCGCTTTAAAATCTGTTTAAAGACCTTTATTTTCAACCTGCACCTTTGGTCATGTTTCATAACCCGATGCGCCAATTGCCTAACCACAGGGTTAGCTAAACAGAGACCTGTGTGTGGAGCAAGGAAACTTGCTTAAGGTTTCTGCTCGGGATTCAAACCGGGTCCTCTCACTTGCAAGGTGAGGGCGGTCACCACTACTCTACGGGACTCACACAAGGAACTCACACATCATTATCACAAGGAACGGGGTGTCATTTCTCCTCTGTGGTGGTGAAGATAGAGCTGTGAGAGCGGTGGGCTGTGTGTTTACAGGGCGACTCTGGGGGACCTCTGAACTGTCAGAGATCTGATGGCTTGTGGTTTGTGCACGGAGTGACAAGTTTCGTGTCCAGTTATGGCTGTAACACCTACAAGAAGCCCACGGTGTGGACGCGGGTCTCTGCCTTCAGGAACTGGATCGATAATGTAAGTGTCTTCACGCAGGTCTCCTCCCACCACTTACTCTCTCCCAAACCCTTCTATTCCTCTCTCCCTCATCAGCCCCACCATCACCCAGCTCCACTGGCTCCCCACCCCCAGAAGATAGAGTTCAAAATCCTGATAGATTCAAAATCCTACCATCGGTGGTCAGGCTTTCAGTTTCTTTGCCCCACCTCCCCACCCTTTGGAATTCCCTTTGTCTTACTCCCTCCCTTCAAGGCCCGTCTGAAGACCCTCCTCTTCGATGGGGCCTTCGATCACCCTCATACCTCCCTACCCTCCCCCCATCCTGATCCCAATCCCTTGCTTGGGTCCAAATCTCTGACTGTCCAGCATGTTGGGACGTCTGACCAATGTGAATGGCTCTGTATAAATTTAATTTTGTTGTATAGTTTTTCTTAAATGCATCTATAAGTTATGGAAGGTTAGGGGGCGATATTCTGGTTGACATATCTCTGTGGAATTAGCCTCCAAATGAAGAACGATTTTTCCGAAACTGTTAATTTTAAGATAATGGTTAAGACCGCGTGAATCTCAGCCTTCCGGGGTGACGGAGATCGTTGCACTTTGACCTCGGAGAGACCTGTTAAACCACACAGCGAGATTTGAAAAGTCATCATTGCTTGCTCCATCTTTTTCAATTTCTTTCCCAGACGATGGCCTACAATTAAGTCAAGCAGAAAACAACTCTGACAGGATTGGTATCATGAAAGAAACCAATAAACAAAATCAGCTTCAAATGCAATATGGTGTCCATCGTATTTCCGAAATCCGGACACTGATCCACAATAATTAGGAAAATAATAATAATAATAATAATAATGTTTACATTTGGTATCATGCTTTTCAGGTCAGGGGGACATCCCAAAGTATGTGTGTGTCAGACTGGCTTAGTCGTAGCTCTCACTTCTGAGTCAGAAGGTTATGGGTTCAAGCCCCCACGTCGGGACTTTGAATCACACAGTCTAAGCTGATGCCCCAATAGAGTCCTGGGGTGTTGTTGCATTGTGGGAGGTGCCGTCCTTCAGATGAGACGTTAAACCGAGGGCCCATCTTCCTGTTCAGATGGATGTTAAAGATCCCATTGCATTATATTCGAAATGTATATTTCTCCCAGTATCCAGACTAACAATCTCCCAAAATAAGATTGATCACTCACTCCGTGCTTGTTTGGGGGACACTGCATAACTGGCTGTCACATTTTGCCCACAAAATATACAGTCACTACACTTTACACTTTGAGACGTCTCAACAACATGATCAGGCGAGGATTATTATTATTAAGCTTATGTTTGTAGAACAATGCAGATAATTCACACAAAATACAAAACACTGTCCACCACTCTCTCACCCCACCCTACCTCTATGACCCCCTCCAGCCACACCAACCTGGCCACTCCCTTCACTCAGTGAGCAGCAGCCTGTTTCATGTCCTCCGCTCTATCTGCCCCATCATGGGCGGGTGGGCTTTCAGCCATTCTGCAACTCCATCCCAGAGTCCCTCCAACTCCCTCCCCTTGGATCAAATCACATCTCAATATGTACCTCTTTGACCACATCTTTCGTCAGTATCCTCAACTCCCACCAGCAGTATCAAGCAATTTGAGACATTTTCCCAATGCGAAGGACACTGTATAAATATAAATTGTATTGTACATCACCACACTCTGCCAGCCCTTCTCTCTGCCATTCTCCGACTCATATCTTTCTCTTGTTCTCTGACCTGTCTCTCTCATTATCTAAATCTCCAACTCTCGCTCTCTCTCTGCAGATTTCGCCATCTTTCTGTCGCTCACTCTTTTTCTGTTGTTTACTTTCTCTCCCGTTCTCTTATACTTATCAGCTGATGTTTCTTAACATATTCTGAAATGTTACATTTTAATCCCATTGGATCATTACACAAGTCAGGTGTCAGTCTGCTTCAGTCAGAAGCACTCTCCCCCTGAGTCAGAAGGATGTGATTTCAAGCCCCACATTTGAGCTCACAGTCCAGGCTGACACTCCAATCAGTGCTGGGAGGAAGCATTGCATTGTCGGAGATGCCATCCTTCAGATGAGACATTAAACCGATGGGGCGTATAGGCATGACTGTCCACAGTCCCGCTTCTGCCTGTTCAGGCGGACGTTAAAGATCCCATGGCACTATTGAAAAGAGTAGGGAGTTTCTCCTGATGTCCCGGCCAACAATCCCGCAAACTATGTAGGTGACTCACTTTATGATGAGTCATATTGGGAGTGGGACATAAGTTATGCATTAGGTGTGTGTTTGCCCACAAACACACAGTTACTATGCTACGGTAACACTGTGAAGCATTAAACATTAGAATAAATACATTGGAATATATAGCACTGAAACAGACCATCTGACCCAATGGTCTATGCCGATGTTTATGCTCCACATGAGCCTCCTCCTGCCCTTCCTCAACTAAGCCTTCAAGCATAACCTTCTACTCCTTTCTCCCTTATGTACCTCTCTAGCTTTCCCTTAAATACTATTTGATTATAGTCATTAATGCTATTTGAGATATCTTGATGACAGACAGACAGATCCTTCTAAGAAAGAAAGAGAGCAAGAGAGAAAGAAAACTTTACAGTAATTATTGTCAAGTGAAGTGATTGTTTATGTAGACAAATTTACATTTGCAGGGTTCTGAGTGAAAAGTACCTAATCCTAGAGACGTGACTGGGGCTTTTTGATCAAAGGGCGCAACCAGGACTCGCACGCCACTTTGGCTCACTGACACTGAAAGCTGGGGATTTCCAGAAACTTTTGTTTCAGTTTCTGCAGTCTTTCGCCATCAGCTCCACTCCATCATTACAAACCTACATAAACCCATGTGAGTGATGGAATGTGGATGTAATTAAACGGGGTGAAGGATAAGAATGATTATCACATCAGCGAAATGCATGATCCAGACCGGTCATTAATTAACGGCAGGAATTCAGGCTGATTGACTTAAGATAGTTTCAGGATAGACACTATCCATTTCCATTGAGGGGAATCAATAGATGGATTGGGTTTGCGTGTGTTGTGAGGCCGGAAGACCACGATGTGACCCAGTGACAAGAACAAAGATGGTGTCGTACAGAAAACTCAACGTGGCTTTGGTACTAAACCATGGGACAAAAGTCAAGTGTGGGAGTAGGAGTGATAGTGCGCTCTGGGATGCTACTTTGTGTGAGTGGGGGGGGGGGCTATATACATGCAAGTTGTTGTTAAAGTGGTTGTTTGGTGTGTGTGGGGGGAGGAGGAGGGTTGGTGCTCACTCTCAAGCCTACCATTAATCGACACATGTCGCAATAGCACTTTTATGATAAGTATTCATGTCACACACCTCATTTTTGGGATACTCCTGTGGAGTAAGAAAAAAACCAAAAACGCCTTCCATCAAACCCTGATGATCACTGCAATATCCCACAAACAGCACGGAGTGAGCAATCAATTTGATTGATTGATTGACTGATTTATAATTTACGATTGGCTGCCGCGTTTCGCCCACAAAATATACAGTCAATTCACTTTACAGTATATTCTGTGAAGCGCTTTGAGACGTCTGGAAGATATGATGAGGCGCTGTATCAACTGCAACGATTATTATATTATTATTATTATTATCATAAAACACGCTTTACAGGATATACCGCAAAGTATAGTGACTATGTTTTAGGAGCAAAACTTTTTTTTTGGTGGGGGGGAGTGTAACGGTGCGGTCTGGTCACCCAATGAAGGCTTTAAGGGAACTGAACAGAGTGGGTTTGGGCGCTGGGCTGGAATTACTGTCGGCATAGAGATGGGGTGTGGTCCGTGGCCTTTAAAGCGGGAGCGGGGAGGAGGAGGCACTGCGCCTTTAATAAGGGCCCGGGCTGCGCCTGCGCGGAGCGGCGGCGGCGCGAGACAGCGGCGCAGTGAGCGCGAGAGACGCGGCGGCGGCGGCGGCGGCCCCGCGGGCGGGAGGAGGAGGAGGAGGAGGGGAGGATGAGCGAGTACCTGGTGCTGGGGCTGCGCAGCCTGGTCTGGTTGGCCGTCAAGGTGTGGAGTCTGTGCCTGGAGGCGGCGCGCAGACAGGTGCGAGCGGTGAGTGACAGCGCCCCGACACCGGGGCTCCCCCCCCCCCTCCCCCCCGGGGACAGGGCCCCCCCCAGGGATGGGGCTCCCCCCCTCCCCCCCCGGGAACAGGGCCCTCCCCCCCCAGGGATGGGGCTCCCTCCCCCCCAGGGATGGGGCTCCCCCCCGCTCCCCCCCTGGGGACAGGGCCCTCCCCCCTCCCCCCCGGGGACAGCCCCCCCTCCCCCCCAGGGATGGGGCTCCCCCTCCTCCCCCCGGGGAAAGGGCCCCCCCCAGGGATGGGGCTCCCTCCCCCCAGGGATGGGGCTCCCCCCCGCTCCCCCCTGGGGACAGGGCCCTCCCCCCCCTCCGCCCCGGGGACAGCCCCCCTCCCCCCCTGGGGACAGGGCCTTCCCCCCCTCCTCCCCCCCCAGGGACAGCCCCCCCTACCCCCCAGGGATGGGGCTCCCTCCCTCCCCCCCCAGGGATGGGGCTCCCTCCCCCCCAGGGATGGGGCTCCCTCCCCCCCAGGGATGGGGCTCCCTCCCCCCAGGGATGGGGCTCCCTCCCCCCCAGGGATGGGGCTCCCTCCCCCCCAGGGATGGGGCTCCCTCCCCCCCAGGGATGGGGCTCCCTCCCCCCCCAGGGATGGGGCTCCCTCCCCCCCCAGGGATGGGGCTCCCTCCCCCCCAGGGATGGGGCTCCCTCCCCCCCAGGGATGGGGCTCCCTCCCCCCCAGGGATGGGGCTCCCTCCCCCCCAGGGATGGGGCTCCCTCCCCCCCAGGGATGGGGCTCCCTCCCCCCCAGGGATGGGGCTCCCTCCCTCCCCCCCCCAGGGATGGGGCTCCCTCCCCCCCAGGGATGGGGCTCCCTCCCCCCCCCCCCAGGGGAATGGCTGGAGCTTCCCCTGAGGGAGGTGGAGGTGGCGGTGTGGGTCAGGGCTGGTGGGATGGGGCAGGGGGTTGGATGGAGGATTGTGGGCGGTGGGGACGAGGGGTGTAAGGAATGTGGGATATGGAGGAATGGTAAGTTCTTGCGTTTGATGCAGCGCCGTATCACGTCCTTAGAGAGCAAGACAGTGTAGTGACTGTTCACTTGGTAAATAACTGGGGAGTTGGAACAACAACAACTGCACTTGCGTAGCGCCCTTCATGTGGGGTAGCGTCACGGAGTGTTTCACAGCAGTGGGGTCTGACCCCCAACAGGAGCCCAGTGTGGGGGGGAACATTAAGACTGGTGAATGTGAGTTGCGAGCTCGATCAGTGGTCAGTGAATCCAGTATCTAGTTGGAGAAATACAGAGCGGATTAAATGTGTGGGTGTGAAGACGGAGCAGGACACACAGGGAAGGAAGGACAGGGTTACACTGAATCAAATGTTTGGGGAGTATAGGAAGTGGAAGCTGTAATAAACGTTGTTAGCAGTGTGACATTTACTTATGAATTGAGTAAAGAGGTTAGTTAGGCAGAGGTTATCGCTGCTTTATGGGCTGATTTGCTGTGGGACAGCGGACTGAACTATTTATGCTTTGGAAATTCTCTTCAGATGTTCTCGTCGTAAATTGCTGAGCGGGAGATCATGCACTCACTAAACTTCTGAGCGATGGCAGTGACTGACTGAGGGGGCTTTTTTTATTGTTATTTTTCTGTAATAATAAATAATCCTTGCCTTTGATAATCCATTCGTTCGCATTCTCGAAAGACATCACAGTCATCACAACTCCTCCAAAGGAGACCTTGACTACAACACTCCTGTCATGGGGTCTCCAACTCAGCTTACCAACCTCGAGATTGAGCTGAGTTCATCTCAAAGTACTTTACAGGATTTACTGTACAATAATAATAATAATAATAATAATCCTTTGGGAGGACGTTCCAAAGCGCTTCACAGAATACACTGTAAAGTGAATTGTCTGTATATTTGTGGGCAATGTAGTGACTGTTCATTTTGTAGGCAAACACAGCAGTGAATTTCTGCAGAACAATGTCCCAAGAACAACCATGAAGTGAGTGACCAATTTTATCTGAGGGATTGTTGGCCAGGACACCATAAATAGTATAGCTATTGTTACTAGTTATTTGTCCCATCAAATGGCTGCTTGTCCTGACTTTGGAGGTCAGTGAGTTAGTACTGACTGCTCCTGCACACACAGCCTCACACAAACCGTAGACTCCCAACCTTTCACGGTGGCAACACACAGTCATTTCACTTTAGAGTGTATTCTGTGAAGCGCTTTGAGACGTCTCGACGACGTAATAAGGCGCTGTATCAAAAGCAAAGGTTATTATTGTCTTAAGCTGACGATCCAGCCCAGTGCTGGGGAGAGAGAGCGAGAGAGAGACTGCACCACATTGTCGGAGACGCCATCCTTTGGGAGACACATTAAACCTCACTCACTATCCCTCCGTGCCCTGTTCAGGGCGGCTGTTAAAGATCTCCCTTGGCGCTGTTGGAAGGGAGGCAGTGGAGGAGAGCAGGAAGCTTCTCTCTTGCTTGAGAGAGATTAAGAGAAAGACAGAACGATAGAGGACTCAATTGCCACAATCTTTGGAAACACGACGTGGGCAAGTCAGTGGCAAATTAGGTTTAGCACTGATTAAACTGTTGGACACTGCTGTGCGCAATTGGCTGCTGTATTTTGCACACAAAAAATAGTCACTATACTTTATAGTATATCCTGTGAAGCGTTTTGAGACTTCTCAACGATGTGATAAGGAGCTATATCAAATGCTATGATTATTATATCTTTGAGTCACCTAATCCTAATCTCTTGTTCTCTTTATAATATATTTTAAGCATCTATCCAATTCTCTTTCAAAAGAATCAAATGACCAAGCCTCACCAACCAGTTACAAGATTTGTTTATATTTGATTTTACTTTTCGGGGGAATTTTCCCCCTCTGGATACAACACAAGCCTTTTAGAGCTCAAGTGTACAGTAAGTAATATATAGGATAGTCATGACTGACTTCATTCTTTCTGATTTAATACACAAAATACACAGTCAATCCAGATTGCAGTATGTTCTGTGAAGCACTTTAAGACATCTCAATGACGTGATAAGGCATTGTATCAAATGCAAGGATTATTATTATTAATGGAAACACAGAGAGAGAGGAAGTGTGTGTTTAAAGGAAATTGACTGTTTTAGTACTTAAAGGGCAATTCAATATGTTTATTTGTTAGATGAAAAAAAGCTTAAAATTTGTTGACATACAAGGTGACCAAAAAGTCATTAATACCACCCTATTATGTAAAAAAAATTATCATTTCTTTAAGACGTATTAGACATTGCAATGGTATCACTACTTTTTGGTCACCCTGTATTTGTTGTAATGGAGTAACGCTTTCAAATCATTGAAGGTACTTGTGGTTGCCATGGAAAAGATGTGCAGTCCCTTTTGCAGCCCACATCTATAACTCTAGCCGATGTCCTCTCCTGCACCAGGATCAGTGAACCCATCCTCACTCAGCTGCACTGGATCCCAATTCCCCCAGCGGATTGAATTGAAGATCTTTGTCCTTGCTACAAATCCCTTGCACCAGCAGTCTACCTCAGCAACCTCCTGAAACATTGCTGTTCAGTCTCTGCGACCTACTTCACCTCCACCCAAACTTCCCCACCATTAATTGGCAAGCTTTGTAAATGTCTGCACGATCTCAGATCTTAAGTCAATGGTCTTCTGTTAAGGAGGCTCTTAGAGTAGAAATATCGCGGTGCAGTTTCACGCCTCTTGAATTTTGACTCTCATTCTTTCATTGTCTTCAAGGGAGCTTGTGTGGCAGAGGGCAAAGAACAGTCACAAATTACGGCTTAAAATGAAAGGGATCCTGAGTGTGTAAAGCTCTTCTCTCCATGGCACCAGCTGTGGTAGCTGCTACATTGCAGGGCTAAATTTAGCTCCTGTTTCCATCGTGCGTCTGAAATATTGGAAAGGCTCGTTCATTCCCTAGAGTCATTTTTCCTCTTCATTCCTTTGGATAGCTGCAAACTGAAGCATCTGCACACATACAAAAAATACTCTTGAGCAGTTTTCTCACAAAGCTTAACGTAACAGCCAGTGTTTTCTTATCACTTGGATGCAGAGGATATTAGTGGGATGAGTTATTTATAGCTTCTGTCTTGACAAGCTGCCTTCTAGTAAGTACTGTACTCCCTGCATTTTTCCTACAGCTCAGTGACATGAATACTCTTGATTCCTGGTATCCTCAATCCTTACTGCTAAAGGGCAGTGATGTATGGAACTCCACAGCTTCCTATTTCCAGGGCATGTCTCGAATGTTACACACTTGTGTGCGTAAGAGTTTTTTTGTGTGGCATATGTCAAGCATGCACTGGCTGCAGATTTCCTCACACGCAGCCAAGTTGGCACAAGCTCAGTGGGTTATCCAGTTTTCTAAGGGAGGAGGGAAAGAACTTGGAATTTGACAGGAAGCTATTGGATTAAGACCCATTTTGGGATTTGAACTCACAATCTGGACTGACGCTGTAGCTGTTGAACTCAGAGATGCAGTCTTTTGGATTAAAAAGTTAAACCGAGGTCCAATCTGCTTGTTCAGGTAGATGTGAAGGATTCTGTAAATTTCTTCCAGGTATGGAGAGGGCTCAGTGTTGCCAAATCTACGGCAAATGCAAGGAATATTCTTAATGCCATTCAGTTCAATGGAAGCCCCAGAAAACAAAGAGACTTGTTAAGGTTCAATGGCAACATTGCTGAAATGCAACTGGCTACCTCTTTCTATCAGTTGGCTATTTTCTTGCATAATCGCCTTCGCTGGTACCTTCCGCTCTCTGACTCCACTTACTGCTAGATCTTCTCTCCCACCATTGCAACCACTAAGACTCCCATGCCTGCTCTGCTGCCTTCATAAACCATCTTAACAGCAAATGTCTTTGACTTGACCTTTGGCCACCACTCAAAGTTTCCCCCTCCTCCTTTCCCAGCTCAATAATTCAGGACATTTTTGTGAATTGTATTAAATATTAAAATATATGGGGAGGAAACAGGGCAGTGAGGTTGGACTAGCTC